GGTGGGTTACCCCACGGCACTTAGGCCTCATTAGGCCCATTGTGCATCCTCCTGAGAAGATAGGCATCTCCTAGCTCGTGAGCCAGCCTACAGATTGAATGTAGTTGACAACGTCGCCAAGAGGTGCTTCTCTTATATCGGCCGGTGTTAGCCGATACTCGCCGAACACAAATCTTCTAATAAATGAAAGCGTCGAGCAATCGTAAAGGATATGCTCGATGGTCTCATCTTCTTGTTCGCACCCTCTACAGAGTGCGGATTCTGACAGCCCCATGATATGAAGATGCTTTCGTACTTGGCAATGACCAGTCAGAATGCCTGTGACTAGGCGCAGATTCTGTCTAGTCATAGTCAAGTATTTGTTTGCTGCAGTGTTGTCAGGATAACTTAAGAGCTCCCTGGCAACTCTGCAGTTTCTTGTTTCATCCTATCTTTCCTTGAATTTCACAAGGGAATGTTTTTTAATTAGGTCTGTCACTACCGATTTTGTCAGGAGGGCCAGGTCCAAAAAGTATTTGGTTGGCTGCTTTCTTGGCTAGTGAATCAGCAAGACGGTTACCTTTCGATGTGGCGTGACCTTTGATCCATCTTAAGGTGACAACATTGTTGATGGATACTTCGGCCAAAGCTTTGTGATATTCTAGTACTAACCCTGAATAAATTCGTGGTCTGTTCAGGGTGAGTAGTGCTTGTCTGCTATCTGTATAGATGAGCATGTTCCTTCCAGCGATATGCTTTCTGGTTATTTCTTTTGCTGCTATGAGAACCCCCGTTAGCTCTGGTTGAACTACACTAGCACTATTGCTCACAGCCCATTTTATGTTTAGGTTTAAAAATCTGGAGTATATTCCACATCCTGAGCCTTGTTTTGTTTTAGAACCATCGGTGTAGATATGAATCGTACCTGTCACTTCCGGCTCTTCTATTTGTTCTATTATAACTTTATATGGCTTATGAAAGATATATTTCGGTGAAATGGAGTCCATGTTCGCTTGAAGCAGTGGGAGTGTATACAGCGCATCCTGCCAAAAATGACGTCTCGCCTCACCAGATCCTACATCAGGTTCTATTTCGACCATGCGGAGGCGTGTCATTGTCGTCAGAGCAACCTCCTTGATGTAAATATCAAGGGGAGTGAGACTAAGAATGACTTGCATGGCTCTAGTCGGTGTTGTTTTCATAGCGTCTGTTGTGTTGAGACATGCTGTTCTTTGAATTTGTTCTAGTTTACGGATAGGTTTTTGGGTTTTCGGTACCCAGACAACTGCACCGTATGTTAGCATAAGTCTTATGATAGCCGTGTAAGTCCATGCGACGACTTTGGGGGAGAAACCCTAGGTGCGCCCCACGGTTCGGCTGCATTGTTTATACGCAATGTATGCTCTTTCAACTGTTTTCTAAATGCGAGTTCCATGTTAACTTGCTTTCAAAGGTGAGACCTAGGTACTTTACCTCTGTTGCAAAGTTTAGTTTTGTGTTTAGGAGTTCTGAAGGTTTTAATTCCATTTTCAACCTCTTCCTTATGAAAAGGACCATTTCTGTCTTCTTAGTAAATGGTCCTTGCGCCACTGTTCTATAATTTTTAGAGCTACTTGCATTCTTTTGCAGAGTATGTTCTCAAAATTCCCTGTTTGCAGAATGACCAGGTCATCTGCATATGCTATTGTGTAGTGACTGTCATTATTGAGGCGGCTGATGAGGGTATCCGCGATTCAAACTAAGCGACACGCCCTCTGGAGGAAATTTGTAAGAGGTGTCTATTATGTCACGCTAAACAAATATCACCCTATATATAAAATATACATTTTCTGTTTTAATATACATTCGTTACATTAAATAATTCAGCATAATATTTTGAAAAACAGTAGATTCAATTCATAACTTCATCTTTGATAAATGTAAATATAACATTAGACTAGACATTTACTGACCTTAATCGATTAATATAAAAATCGGCTAGGTCAACAATAATGACACTCTTGGTCGGAGTCTAATCCAAGACTCTTGGTCGGAGTCTCACCCTAGACTCTCTGCCGGAGTCTCATCCGAGACTCTTATTTTGAGTCTCATCATCGTTTCGCATCCCAATAGAAGTGACGTGACCTCGTCGCCTTTAGATGTTTAGCCCTTGGTAAGGCCCTTTTTATATTATTGTAATATTTTGGATATATTATTTATCTTTAATAAATTGTTAATTGTTGTTGCTCTTTTATTTTCCCAAGTCAGGTAGCACAGAGTCACTATTTAAAGTGACTCCCTCACGACCGAAAGGCCCGTGACAATAAATAGGACTTTTCCAGTGTTGCTAACAGTAGCGAAATTCTGATACGTCAGAGGATTTTAATACCTTTGTAGCAGAGGAAATACCTTTTTTTTAAAATAGCGAAATTTGGGTCTACCAATATGTAATATTTATTTAGGGATTTTTATAAAACCGATTTAATTATATTTTTTATTTATCAATTTTGTTCTCAAATCAGCAACATTGGCGTTTGTATTCGCTGTAATAAACATTAGGTACCTGACATTTCCTTCAATCCACATAATAATAAAGATTGTCCTGCGTTTGGCAAACAAATATTTCTAGATATTCGTGTAGTATCAAGATTGGTAAAGATTTTAAACAAATTTAGTCTTAAACACATGATAAATATTAATATTTATAAATAAAACACAGAAACTAAACTTAAATGAAACTCAAAAACATTATTATAATGATATCTAAAAACAGTTAAAATATCACAAATATTTTCGCCCGCCATAACACAAAAATTATAGGTAACAATGTTGCAAAGCCGGTGCTTTTTACCTTATCGTCGATCAAAATTATCGTATTTTTCACCTTAAATAATAAAGGTTTTTTTTTTCACATGGTAAAAATATGCATTTGATGCTGTGATGCTGTTTTTTTCTGTGCTAATCAACATACACCTGAATCAGAAAACAAGTACCTTAAGTTTATAACAAGTTATTAAAGTAATTAAAAAAAAACTGCAAAATAGTGCAGATGTCATTACAAATTGAGTTTGCTGATTTTCTCATAAATTCTATCACCAGATCTTGACCAAATTTATATTGGAGCACCCCTGAAGAACTCTGACAACGTAGTTAATAATTATCGCTAAACATACATAAAAAAAATACCAACGAATTGAGAACCTCCTCCTTTTTTTGAAATCGGTTAAAAATGGAACAACTTTATTTTCGACTTTTAAGTATTTTACCACAAATAGAAAACTTAAAAACAAAAAAATTAAGATACATTTGAATAACCCTAAATAGTTCTATATTGTCTATAACAAAGTCATCATCATTTTCAGATTCACTAGTTTCTAATGATGGATACATGATGGCTTTAGACATTCTTGATAGCATTGTTTTTTTTTTGGAGGAAAATTAACACAGTTTTGATTAAAATTATTGACGCATTCAGTTGTCAACAAAGTTCCATTTATAATTTTATTACTCGATTTCTTATTTTAGTTTTTACTAAATTTGTTTGACTAAAAGTGCGTTAGAGTGTAGTATCAATAAAATATTTAAAACAAACTCGGCCATACTGCCAAAAATAACAGCACCATCAGCTCTTCTAGTTTAAGGATTTCCCCAAAATACATCTATATCGTCATTATTTAATTTTATTTTATTTTCAAATATATAATTTGGTAAAAGATGCTATTTATCTATTTTTTTTTTAATGGAAAAACGTTTAAAATACTCCAATTAAAGTAAATTGTTTGTTAATCGTTTAAATACCGTACATATGCATACGGTAATGAACTTATTATTGTATACCGTATTTTGGCTTTTGGCACATATACGATAATTACCGTACGGTTGGCAACACTGGGGACAAATGACGCGCGTGAAAATTTATTTGAATCGCAAATACCGCTTAACTTGAATTGCCAATACGGTAATGTTGTAGTTGAAGGGTCTAGAAATGCGCAAATTCACACCACTCTGCACTGACGTCTAGAATTTGAATTTGCTCAAGCCACGTTGCCAAATCTCCACTTTCATTTTAGCTTGCTTTATTTCATAGTTTATTATTTAGACAAATTGTAACCTCTGTAAATTAAAATGTATGATAAATAAATATAAAGATTTATATTATATTTTGAAATAACAATTCTGTTTTGTTTTATAAGACAGTTTTGATAGATTTTAAATTTTAATTTTGTAATTATCACTATTGAAAGGTATTATTGACATTAAAAATAACAATCGTATTACTTGAAAATCTTTAGAATTTTTTTAATTTTATGAGATTTTTAATCGATGTAAAAATTGGTAAATAGATGATTAAAAGTAAAATAGTTATTTCAATCTGCTTATTCCCTGATTCCAAATAATTAAATATAACCTGGCAACTATGTAACGATTCCAACTGACAGAACTAGTCGGAACAGCAATGGTGCGGACTGGCGCATTTCCAGACCCTTCAACTACAACATTACCAAATTAATTAATTTTGTATAATGCATATAAATAATTTAATCCATTGTGAATATAGCTGTGAAATTTCTTGAAATCTTCTGACGTTTACCACCTCTCTGCCTACTAAAAGCCTTTCTTACTTTTGCCTCTGCTACTCTGCTCTATAAAAGTTCAGAATTATTAAACGAAATAAGTAAAAACTACCAAGTACGGTCCTGTTTAAAATTAAAAATGTACCCTTGACTTTGTTACTTACCTACTTAATACTTTTGTCTGATCCCAACGCATAGCAGATAAGGTAAATGAGTTAAAAAATAAATTAAATGCCTAACTATTTGTACTTTTATATGTATTATTATGGATGAAACTGGGTAAAATAAAAATACGTACTTTGTTGCCTGTATAATTTAACTACACCACTGCACTGTGTTATAGTACCTAATGAAAATGGAATTTTAATAGCAACACTGCCAATTAGGTGACTGACATTTAAGTTATAAACAATTGTTGCAGAATTTTTAATTTTGTAACAATAAAATAAAAGCTGTTTAATTTCTCACCTGCATTACCGTTGACTAGTTGGTTAGAAGACATTGTAATAATAACTTTGTCTAATCACTACTAAACATAACCTAGAATACTAGGTTAGTAACCTCTATAAAACTATTACGAAGACACGACTTGTTAATAAAACCTGAGGTAATTATTTATTGTGAAGATAACGAGCGACCAAATAGTACGGTTCAACCGAATCGAATATCACATTGCGAATGAATTAGAATTATCGTAGAGAGACCTTGAATTGCTTAATATCTGATCTTCGCGGAAAGAAAATCTATGTTTTATAAAGTTACATTACAGGGCACAGCAGTTCGACCTGTTCGACAGACAGACATTCGCAGACTTTGATGAAAATGCAATTATCACGTGTTACATTACGTAGATTTAGTAGTGTGGCATTGGCGTAACATGTGCGTAACATCGATAAATATTAATGAGTAATACAACAGCAAATTTTGGTATCAAGTATTAGGTGCAATTTAATTATACAAAAAAATTTATAATTTTCATTAACTTTATTTACAAAAATAACAAAAAAATTATCAACAATTATATTTATCTTCTACCGGCATATTGATGGCCGACATGATGTCTCACGCCCCACTTGAAATTGGCATGTTTATCCGTTTTAACGAACGTATGAACAGGCCCAGTCACCCCATGTCCGTGATCTCTTTTGCCTCTTCGAAATAGGCGTTCTCTGTCTTCTAAAAAAATAATATATTTTTATTAAAAAATTTTAAACATTTATTTTACATGTTCGGTTGACAAGAGTTTGAATTATTTAATATTATAATAGTTCATAAATATAAATAAATACATTTTTACTAATAAACATATATCCGAAAACACTTCGTTTCCGAGATACAGACAGAATGTTAAAGTTTCAAGGATTTTTTTTTAGTTTGTTGTTATCTATATGTATCATCTTATGGACCAATTAGTTTGAATCCAAAATTTTCATAGGCCACGGGGTAAGTCTAATATCGGAAACGAAGAGTTTTTCGGTTTAATAAGCAAAAAATGTTTATTTTGATGTCCCCGTCTATCACCGGTAAAAAAATGTTCGGTTTATTTACGGGACATCCACTATAGGTAGGTTAATAATTTTACCAAAAGTGTTCAAATAATGTACTCCTAAACCTTGAAAACTATTATTAACGGTCACTTGCATATTACCATTTCTAGAAATTCATTATCTACAAAGATAATATAAAATCATATTGTGTGTGTAATTAGATTTAGGTTTCCCTCGGCTACGGATACTAAGTCCATTCGCCAGTATGTAAAATCATTGGAGTGATATCAACAAAGCTACTGTCAAAATAGCTGGAAGATAAAGAAATGGCAGTAGCAACTGTCGTGGATAATGAGTGAGCTTTTAATAATGTCACACAGGATCAATAATTAATGCACTAGCAACAAAAGGGGTACCAGAAGTCCTGTGTCAGAGGATAAAAGCCAGTCTAGAAGAAAGGGTAATAACATAATTTCTAGGCGAAGCTACACTGACCGCTCCCCAGGGAGAAGTACTATCACCTCTCCTTTGGTCAGTCCTAGTGGACGAATTTATAAAAAGGCTAATATATGTAGACTTCTGCTGCTTGGGTATGTCGATGACCTAGCGATCGTCGTAACAGGTACAATCTCGAAGCGCACACAAACCGTTCTAAACATCGTTGATAAGTGGTGCCAAGAGAAGGAACAGTAAACCCTCACAAAACCACAATAGTCAACTTCACAAAACACAAGAGTCATAAGGCTTATGATAACCTACGGGTCGGTGGTATGGAGCCAAAGGCCTTGGAAAAATTAACGTGTGTCGGAATAATGTACAATTTTTCTTCTTTTTAAATGTCAATTTAGATTTAATTTAGATTGGTGCATAGTTATCACCACATACTTTGATTTTGTAATCAAAGTATGTGGTTATCACCGACACTTGTATCTCTGTCTTTGTCGGTCATGGTCTACTTTAGAAACATTTTTTGTGGATTATTTAAAAATGAGTCGGGATGATGTCACAAGTCACAGCGACGTCTTATTGACGTCGTACTAAAAATTTTACTGACAAAAGAAACCCATTTAAATTTAACAAGTTATCATGCCGAGTTTTTTGCGTAACTATATGTAGGATGAATATTGTTTACAATTTCCATTATAAAGGTGAGAACACATTGGGAAATCACGGTTCCGTCAGTAGACTATGTTCCGTCTGTGCTCTCGAGCGCGCATGATCACTCGTGATTATATGGGAAGAGATAGGACAACGCGAAGCGAGCGAGAACACTAAGTGGAAATGATAAAATATGGAAAAAACTTCTCCGATCCCCCTCGAGACTAGCACAGACCGCGATTGCCTAATGCATTTCCATCTTTAAAATTAATTTTATGTGTATGTATATTACCTTCAAACTGGGCGGAACTCCAACAAATGATCACAGAAAAGATTACGAATAAAATCATAACCTGTAAAATAAAATATTATTAGACGTTAAATTGAGAATGTGTTCTATGTGACTCAAATTAAGATTAAATTTGCTTATGTTAAATTTGAACTTGGAAGTGTCTATCCATAATAGGTACATGTTTTATATAAGCTGCTGTGTGGTCTTCTTTATTTTGTAGATTCCATCTTATAAATAAATATTAGGATTTATATGTAAAATATATATTTGGAAGAGAAACAAACAGTTGTGTATAAAATTTAAATAAAAAAATGTTATAGTTGAATATATTATCAATATCAATACTGGGAGCGTTGACAACGAGGTCGCCAACGAGATGAGCTTAATCTTTTGTCTTTTGCCATGTAATATAAAGTTATCAATGGGTGAAGGCTGTTTGATGCATATGACGCAATGTAAGTGTGAAGAAGATATAGTGCATGTAAGCCACTAAAACTGCTTAGCTCAAACATTCCGAATTTCATAATATCCAAATTAAAATAGCATAATCACACGAATAATTAATTATTTACTATAAACAAATAAGTTTACAATATAATGATCGAAAATTGAATCACGATAAATTCCCTGTATGTTGACAGTAATTGTTATGTACAGTCAATTCTAAAAACTCGTATTTATCAAAAAAAAACTTCGATCATATAATAGATATAACTGATAAAAATGCCTTCATCTTATAATTTACTTAAGGATAAATACATAGATAAAATTGTATTTGAATCAACGTTTGAATTTATAACCACAGAATTATAATCTACTATTTTTATCATCTAGATACGTCTACAATTTGTACTTACAAAATTCATTTTCTCAACAAAATGTCCTAGCACTCTATAGCTTCAGATTTAAAACAAAATAAATTGATATACTGAAAAACATACAATGGGTTTTAACTTTTATACCAAGGAAAATAATCATTTATGCAAGAAAAACTAATCGGAACTTTCTTTACTTTTTATCGAGTGAAAGTGTCCTCTAATTTTATATAGTCTAATAAGTTTATACGGTTTGTTGAAGATTCAATGATGGTTTGAACACAAAAATAACCAATAATCATTGTGGTTTCATATTTTTTTAGTTTCTCCAAAAGTGATTAGACCAAACACCTAGGTATATAAAAATTAAATTTTCGGTTGAGTAGTTTTTAATTAATATTATCAAAATACCATAAATTACTATGTATACTTACCTATAAAGAGTGTATTAGTTAATTGTATTAACTATTATATTGTTGCATTTTATCCTCGATGCACCCACCGAATCGCCGCCCCTGCGTACATACCTGTGTCTAAAAAAAATGTAAAAATCGAATAGGTAACTAAAATTATACCTAATAGTTATGCAACCAATTATACAGCGACGTGTATACAATGTTATCTAAAACTACTTTGAAATAGCAGTTGTGTGGAATAATTATATATTAACAAGTATTTTTTTATAATATACCTATACTGAAACGAGAATGTTTCATGAATATGCTTAGTTTAAGTCAACAATAAACATATTTTCTTTATTTTCAATTTTATATATATCATATATCCTGATAATTATTATCACATCTTTTTCCGTTGCGCAGTGGTAGAATGTCCATTTTCTTTAGTGGTCTATAGTTTGAGAAAATAACGGTTATAGTAACGTTTGAGCATAATTAAACCGTTGTATAGAGATATTAATGTCTTCATACAATGCTTATACCTTTTCTAAAGCGTTTTTACATCTTTTCCTAGAACAAAATTATATTTTTTCATCATACATTTTTGGAGGTATGCAATACTAAGTACGTGTATGTTAAAAATGTTGTCTATCCCACAACAACGGAAATTTATTAAAATAAAAATAAAACAATATCTATATAATTTATTAAAAAAGATACATCAAAATTATACTTGTGGAAATTCACTCAATATCATAAAAATCTGAAAGTTAAAACAAAAAAGTCAAACAGTAATCGGAAACTTAAAACAATAAAAAAAAAGTATAAGTATCTAGAAAATGTTCAATTCCTATTGATCATAATTAATTTCAAACAGCTATTGCAAAAAACTTGGTAACAATTCAGACCCTAAACATCAGTTATTGCATAAGTTTTTCCAAATCGTGGATTTGAACAATCAAGTCATTTTTTCTCTTCACTTTTGCTAATTGTTCTGGCTCAGGCTTAGCCAATGTCCCATTTTTTATTTTTTCTTCCAATGACTCCACTTCTCTGAGCCTCTTCTTCAGGTTCTTCAATTTTTTTTGGGGATCAGTCGATTCCTGTGGCTCTTGAGCAGTTTTGTTTTCATTTTTGGCCAACTTGGGTTCTTTTTTCTTCGGGGCATCTATGAGCTTCAAGTTTGCTAGCTGTTTCTCAAAATCTTCAGATTCTAAAAGAAATGAAATCACATTTTTACTACTTTCCTGCTATGTATCACCCTTTATTGGCAAATCAAAAGCCTGGAACTGCTAAATATAAGAAATAAATATCAAATTTAAAATGTTTTTGCAATTAAAATGGTGTCATTAACATACATTAAATGTAGAAAGGTCCAAAACTGAGCCCTGTGGAATTCCTCCTGGGCTCACTATTTCTTCCGATTTACAGAACATACTGTGTACTCTATCTCTAGATGAATGCTATTCCAGGACTTTTGACTAACATTTCTTGCAACAAATTTGAAAAAAAATGATTTTTTCTACCATTAATCCTTAACTGAACACAGTGTATAGCTAGATTTATGAGAAAACAATCATTTTTAGAACCACAATACATTTTATTACAATCACTTCTCAAATTAGGTTAATAATTAATGTTCAGATTGATTTTGAAATTATACTCACTCTTTTTACCCTTTTTCTTTTTCTCTGATTCATCTTCAACGATATAGAGCCCGGGAATCGGGGCTTTCTTGGCAACTTGCCCAGTAGCAAGAACTACAGGGTCATTTTTCCTATTCAAAATTTGTTTGCCCTTGCTTTCATATAAAGGGACCTCTTCTTGAGGTACGTACCCGTCTTTGACTCTTCTGGCCTTCCTCCAAGTGCCGTCCGGCCTTTGAGAGGCCGGTATGAACTGCTCACCTTTTAAAAAAATTATTACAAAAAAAATTGGGGTAGTTTATTAGACTTACCGTTTTCTGTAACGATGTTGTTTACCAGTGACATGATGGGGTACGTATTATCGATTTTTCTCTAGTAATTGTTCATTATTATGAATTAAATCTGGCTATCCTGTTGAAAATTAACTTACCCTACTTTTAATTATTCATTTAAATGCAAAAACAGCTATGATTTATTTTAATAAAGTTGTATTTAAATTTTGACAGAAATTAGGTTATGATTATTTATGGATTTTGTGATCAAAATATGTAAATGTTGTCCACGTAACGACATCTACCGTACATTTTAAGTATATTTGTAAAAATACAGAATTTGGATATAGTTTCAATTTTTAGATAGGGTAATTTAGTAAACTGATTCTAGATGGCGTGGCAGGAGCAAAATATAATTTCCGAGCAAATACCTAATTTACGCTCGGAGATTTTACCTAACGGTCCATAATAAAATTATCCAAAAAAGGATTGATTATGGATAATTAAATATTTACTCAATTCAAATCGAATTGGTTGATTCCAATGTTAACAAAATTTTGACTAGCTTAAATAATAATACCTATTTGTTGTGATTTTTGAATATTAAAAATAAATTTGAACTAGGTAGGTATACTTACCTAGTTAAATGCCCAACCAGAGATAACCAGGAGATGTAACTATTAACAAATATCGTGCGGCCGTGAATAAGACATATTCTAAGGGACACAGTAGGGTATAATCACAATATATTGTGGGTATAATATCCGCTGTTGTCATTGTTAGTAAAGTGTATGTATTAAAATATTCGCTCAAGAAAACGATTCACCTCCCACTCTTTTGTCACATAGCTGAATTTTTCACAGATGAAAGGTCATGATAAGGTAACCCTTTTTCCGGAGTTAATACAAAATTAGACTGTGCAAAAGGGCACTATCATCAAAAATCCAGATATTGATACCACCGAATAGAGAAAAAAATACTAATTTTTTGGTCAAATGCACAATAAAATATTTGTAGGGAGTAATTGTTTATACTTATTTAAAAAAAATCATTTGCATTAGCACTTACGGCCGAAAAAAAAATATAAACGTAAATATCTTGGTTTTAGCCCTTCAAAAATTTAGTTAAAAAGTCGTCTTTTTTAAATATACCACTCATTTAACAAAAAATGAAGGCCTAAATGAAAAAATAACATTCTTTATAAAATTTTTGCTTATGTGTTGAGAAGGTAACATAGTAAACACTATATTTTTTGCTTTTGAATTAACAAAGATATAACAATAAACGATGAGAGATGTCATAGGTTTATGCTGTAATTAATTCTCACCGTCAAATTTATCGACTATCAGTGTATCTTTCTCTTCACCTTCAAACGTAGCATAGCTCTGTTTCTCTCTACGTGCGGGCTGATGTATCACATTATTGATATGGTAGGATTTTTCTTTTTTTTTATTATAAAACTTCTTGTTAGGTTCCATAGGGCAATGTGTCATATTGTTATCTGTTTTTACTAAAGAATTAATAAGTGTATGTGTTATATATTAAATTACCTAATAAATTGGGAAAAAATATAGACATTATTATATTATATATTATATTAAATATGCATCTTTATTATATCTACATTTATCCTGTTGCAGCTAAATATATTTGGGTAAGTTATAAGTTTTCGTTTAAAATTTTAATTACGGATTTGTTGCTGCAAGTAGCAGAGACAAAAATTATATCAAAATAGGAAAGCCCAAAAGTTGCATATCATTTAAAGAATATGCTCATATATTTGTAAACATTATTTTTAGAAATAAATTTAATGCTCAAATGATAGATGTGGTATTTGATCATTATAAAGGACATTCTATCAAAAATACAACACGTCAAAAGAGAGGATTTCAGAAATAAATTGATATAGAAATTGACCGACCCAATATTCCACTTCCGCAACAATAGAACTTGTTTATTCATTAGATATTTAACAAAAGACGTTTAACACATTTTCTGCCAGAGCAACTTCTTCAAAACTCCATTCAGCAAAAGCATATTCAATTTCTAACTAGTGGTGGATTCGCGAAAATCAATAAATATGGAAAGAATTTTGAACCATCAAAAGACGATTTTTTTAAATTCAAATCACGAAGACGCTAATAATCGTATCTCATTGCACATATTGTCAGCCAAAAATTCGGTGCATTCACGCTGCATTATTTATTGCAACGATACAGATGTCTTATTCATTTATTTTAAAAAGTTTTTGACTAAAGATATATGGTTCAGAACAGGGCGAGGAGACTCAAGACGATTTCTAGCAGTACATTATTTAAATTTAGATGAAAACCTTCTAAAAAATATGCCTGCTTTTCATTCTGACCGGTTGTGGTACAACCATTTAATTGTCCGGCATTGGGAACAAAACCTGTTGGAAAACCTACCTTGAAAACCATTACTTTTTGGATGGATTTGGCACTGATCAGTACTCTGAAAACATATTCTCTAATCTTGAAAGAATTTTCCTAAAAATGTATTCAAAACTGCCATCGCTAAATTACCACCGACTGAAGACGCCCTAAGACTACATTGTTTAAGATGTTTTTACCAGCTAAATATTTGGCTAACCTCTTTAAACCCAGATGCAGCTTCCTAATGTTGAAGAGTATGGATGGAAAGTAGATCAAGATGGAAGTATGATACCCACTTTTAAGACTCTGCCCGACCTGCCACCAGACATAACAGAACTTACATCATGCAAATGCAAAAAACATACTATACAATATTCTAACAATAATATTCTGTTCTAGACTGTGGAAGCAAAATTTGCAAATGCAGGAAAAAAAATATTTACTGTATCGGTTCCTGCACCTGCATGGCACAGAAAAACTGCAGAAATAGTTTGACCACAGCCGCTAATGTTTTGGAAAATGTTGATTCGTGTGATGAATCTGATTCTGATTAGTTTGAAAGTCTTGTAATTATAAATTTTAATATTATTAATTTATGCTTTATATACTTCCTTCCAATTATTATTTTTAATTATAATTTATTTATATTGGGGATTTATTGTATTTTGCAAAGCAATAGCCTTACTGTTTATAATTGATACTTCAATAAATACCTTTAATAAATAGTTTATATTTTCTTATTTTCATTTTACATTAAAAATAAAAAAGAAATCTTGAAGTAATAAGTACACCCTATTAAACATGGTGGATAAATCAATAATCCCTGTATAAAATATTATAAGAGGGGTCAAACTGATTGCATACATTTCAATACTGAGATAGATGCATAAAGAGTCGATAGGCTCTGCCTTTAATGTTTGCTTTCTAGTAAAACCATGACATCACTAATGGTTTATTGCTATATTTTTGTTAATTTAAAAGCAACAAATATGAGGAAAGTACTTTTACCTTGTCAATACATAGGCGAAACTTTTATAAAGAATAGTTTTTTTTCATTTAGGCCTTCGGTTTTCGTCAAATGAGAGGTATATTTCTAGAAGAAGATTTTTTATACAAATTTGTAGACGGTTGAAACTGAGACATTTAAATTTTTTTTTCGATCATAAGGGCTAATGTAAATGATTTTTTTAAAATAATTATAAAAAAATACTTCCTACAAAGACTTAATTCAGCATTAGAACAAAAAATAGGCATTTTTAACCAAATTAGAAGTAATTTCATTAAATTAGATGTAATAATTTTCAACAAATTCCAAAACCTAGTGATGTTAGATTGGAAGTGGCAACAGGGCTTACACCGGTAAGAAAAGTTACGTTAAGTAGTAAATGCTTGGGCAGTTATTCATTGATAAAACTATGTAAAATTCTTCACTGTATCCCTTCTTTTACTTCTCACCTTTCGTCGCCTCGCCCCGCGTCTAGAAATAGAATGTTTTGAGTGCGAACTATTCTTGGCATCATGAATATTATATTTTATGAATGACTTCTTATATCTCTGTTATCTCTGTGCCCAACCCATAGAAAAACAAAAGGCCCAACCTGCCTGCATTTAATAAATATTATTTATTCATAACAATTAAATTGATTTTAAAACACAATATGAGCGTAATGGCAATTCAAGAGTGATTCAAGCTAAGCGATACCATATGCGATTGATGATGGCCATATCGCACGAAAACGTTTTTTTTCTACATCCCACTAACAAAAATCTAAAAATTTTAAAAATTATTTTAATTTAAAAATGATTTATGACTTTACTAATTTATATAATAAAATAAACTTGAAAAAAGATTTAATTTATTTAATTAGTGTCCAATCCTATAATTGAAAGCCAAATGACCTAGTCACTACTCCATCACCACAAAAAATGTTATAGTTTTATTAAAACCTATTGTTTATTTGTAAATGTAGACGAAATAATAGAAATGCTATTATTTATCGATTCTACACAAAAATAACTAATTTTAATGTATATTTATTAACCTCAATAACTAAAAAATATGCTGACAACAAAGAAGTAGAGAGGGTAGAACGATAAGGTACCGTTTGCGCATCCTTCCACTCTTATACACATAAATGACAAGGAGAGGTTGCCCTAAAGCACTGTAAACAAATTCCAGGATTGGCTTTGTTCAGCGATTATGTTCATGTTAAGCTCTGTTTTTTGTTTGTTTTGTGGCTGTTGTAAGCTTTTTGGCGTCAATTCTTTGTTATTTTGCGTATATTTGTGCTTTTATTTCAGTTTAGTATTAAATTATACTTGTTAATTATTTTCCGATGCACTATTTTATAATTGTTGCACAAAATGTTGTTAAACCGTCCCTGAATCTTGTTTACAAAATGTGCAAAACGAAATTGTGCAGTGTCTAGACTTTTTCATTGACAGTTATCATTCTACCCCTCTCTACTTCATTGGCTGACAATAGGTATTCCAAACAAATGAATTACCAGTGGGCAGGTTTGGTATATCTAAGGGTGGCGACATATGGTGTATTCTATCTACTTTACGTAAAATCATGAATAATGGATTACATTTAAATATTTTATGTCAAACACAATAAAAATAATATTTAAAAAACCCACCTATACATTTCTTCATAAATTGGCAGGCTTGGCGAGTACTACTTCGAATAAAAATAGCGTCCAAGTTGCAAGACTATGTCGCTATCCCTTAAATATACAAGAATTTCCCACTGGCACCTATTGTTTGACAGGTCGTTAAAATGCCTAATTATTAGTTTGACAGAACCATTGTTTAAAGTCTCTACTCTTTAAACAATGACAAAACTGCACATACTTTATCAAAGTATGTGCAAAACTGTCACTTGTTTAAAATTTAAAAAAATAATTGTAGTCGGGTGAGCAAAATATGAACTGTGATTGATGGATTTCATTTTT